TGCAGCGGAATTGAGCTCACGATTTTGCCTCAGCTGGGTTGCTCGGGCCACGTGAAGCTCGCGAGGGACAGGAGAAGTCCACGCGCATGGACTTTTGTTTTGTTTAGCCCTGGACCGGGCAGCCGCGCGCAATGCCCTGAAGTTGATTCACCGCTCAAGTTGATGTGCATCCGAACATCGATTCCACCAACTTGTATCATTTTCCGGTGACTTCGGCTTGAGATCAATGTGAGGCTGACTGCTTCCTGATTCACCTCCACGACCGGCTCGTTCATTGAGAGAATTACCGAATGTCCGGTGACCCAATCCATTCCTCAATCTGCGTTTGAGTCGAGGTCGCCGGTTCGATTTGTTCTCGGACCACCGTTTGAATAGAGACACTCGCCCCAAGAGGACCACCGTGTATGGAGCACCATGGAGATGAGTGTGCGTGTGATTTGAATGTGGGGAGAGGTAGGGGAGTATGTGTGTGTTTTCTAGGGGAGCGGTGGTGTAGTGGTTAGCGCGCTGCGCTACGAACCCGGCGACCAGAATCCGATTCCCACTCATGGCCAACACCAGTGACGATTATCTAAACCGGTCCCTGCACCTCCCCTAGGTCGACTCAGCCTCAAATAAGTACCTGTTGCGGTGTGTAAACAAAGGCGGCCGGGCGTGGTGTTGGCCGTGCCGCCCTTTTAGGTGCTACTCGCTAACAGCACTTGCCCCAACAGTCTGTTAAGGCTACACGGGGGATCTATGTTTTTGCTTTGTCTTGCTTTCGTACGTGGACTCCATCACTCCAATGCCTTTTATATAACAGAGAGGACGTCACATAAATTCTACAGCGCCGGGCTCGCGAACGAAACGACTCCCTTTCTTTTCGTCGTCCAGCGCTTTGCATCCGCGCCGCTGCGAAATGCCAACGTCACCCCTCGACACATCCCACCTAGCGCCGGGCAACATTCACACGGGCGACGCTTCGCTCGCGGGTACTCTGCCCCTGTGGCTGCACGCGGCGCAATGAATGAAGAGTGCAGCATCAGCAGCAGAGAGACGCAGAGAGAAGGGGGGGGGCAGAGAGAGAAGGGGGGGCAGAGAGACAGAGAGAGAGAGAGTCATCGTCGGCACGATGACCGCGTTGTATTTATCGAGCGATAACGCGCGTGGAATCGTGCGGCGACGAACGATTTACGATCTATGCGAATCGTATGATCGTGTTACATTGGCGGGCGCGCTACGGTGGGCATCGCATCGCGCGATGAACTGGGCGACTTGAGATCGGTCGGCGGCCACCACCAGTGGCGAGTGGGTATACGAACCAAATCCTGGACGGCCCCCGCCACTTCACCTACCCGCCCTGATCAGCGTGGTGATGAAGTATGAACCCCCCCCCCCCCCCCCATGACCGAAAGGACAAACGCTTTGTTACATTTAGGCTATGGGACGGAACGAACACGGAGCGATACAAGTAGAAATAGCCATGGTGTCGTGATGTTAACTACCTCGCCTGGTGTACAGGAGGTCGTGGGTTCGATCCCGACCCCGACGATGCCTGCTGCTGCTGTATATTTGGAGTCTGCGTGTCTCTCTCTCTCATCATCATCACGGTGGCTAGGAGATGTTAACTACCTCGCCTGGTATACAGGAGGTCGTGGGTTCGATCCCGCCCCTGACGATGCCTGCTCCTGCTGTATATTTGGAGTCTGCGACTCGCTCTCTCTCCCATCGTCACGGTGGCTAGGAGATGTTAACTACCTCGCCTGGTCGACAGGAGGTCGTGGGTTCGATCCCGACCCTGACGATGCCTGCTGCTGCTGTATATTTGGAGTCTGCGAGTCTCTCTCTCTCTCATCATCATCACGGTGGCTAGGAGATGTTGACTACCTCGCCTGGTCGACAGGAGGTCGTGGGTTCGATCCCGACCCTGACGGTGCCTGCTGCTGTATATTTGGAGTTTGCGTGTCTCTCTCTCATCATCATCACGGTGGCTAGGAGATGTTAACTACCTCGCCTGGTCGACAGGAGGTCATGGGTTCGATCCCGCCCCTGACGATGCCTGCTGCTGCTGTATATTTGGAGTCTGCGAGTCTCTCTCTCTCATCATCATCACGGTGGCTAGGAGATGTTAACTACCTCGCCTGGTGTACAGGAGGTCGTGGGTTCGATCCCGACCCTGACGATGCCTGCTGCTGCTGTATATTTGGAGTTTGCGTGTCTCTCTCTCATCATCATCACGGTGGCTAGGAGATGTTAACTACCTCGCCTGGTCGACAGGAGGTCGTGGGTTCGATCCCGACCCTGACGATGCCTGCTGCTGCTGTATATTTGGAGTCTGCAAGTCTCTCTCCCTGTGGTAGCGTGGACTTTTCTCCACATTTAGAATCGACGTCACGCGTTTAAGAGTTTTTGGCCGCTTTACATTTCCACGTGACAAGCCACTCCGTTGAGCTATCATTTGTGATGGCCAGGTCGCTTTGGACAAATAGAGCTACGTAGCCGCTCAGTGGGTCATCATTACCTGGTCAAATAAAAACAACAACAACAGCAGCAGACCCTGGGGCCGGCCCGGCACACGCTGGCGGGACGATGTCGCTCGGCTGGCCTGGGAACGCCTGGGAATTACCCAGGAAGAGCTAGAGTCTGTGTATAGTAGTGTATAGTGTAATGTATAGTGTAGTGTATAGTGTAGTATATAGTAGTGTATAGTGTAGTGTGTAGTGTATAGTGTAGTGGTGTATAGTGTAGTGGTGTATAGTGTAGTGGTGTATAGTGTAGTGTATAGTGTAGTGTATAGTGTAGTAGTGTTTAGTAGTGTTGTGTATAGTGGTGTATTTTGTAGTGTATAGTAGTGTATAGTAGTTTATAGTAGTGTATAGTGTAGTAATGTATAGTGTAGTAGTGTATAGTGTATAGTAGTGTATAGTGTAGTAGTGCTTTAGTCTGTCGCCAGGGAAAGGGAGGTGTGGACCGCCACGACTCAACACGCGGCTGTAGTGTATAGTGTAGTGTATAGTGTAGTGTATAGTGTAGTGTATAGTGTAGTGTATAGTGTAGTGTATAGTGCAGTGTATAGTGTAGTGTATAGTGTAGTGTATAGTGTAGTGTATAGTGTAGTGTAGTAGTGTGTAGTGTAGTGTATAGTGTAGTGTAGTATAGTATAGTAGTGTAGTGTATAGTGTAGTGTATAGTGTAGTAGTCTATAGTGTAGTAGTGTATAGTGTAGTAGTGTATAGTGTAGTAGTGTATAGTAGTGTATAGTGTAGTAGTGCTGGAGTATGTCGCCAGGGAACGGGAGGTGTGGACCGCCACGACTCAACACGCGGCTGTAGTGTATAGTGTAGTGTATAGTGTAGTAGTGTATAGAGTAGTGTATAGTGTAGTGTATAGTATAGTGTATAGTAGTGTATAGTGTAGTAGTGCTGGAGTCTGTCGCCAGGGAACGGGAGGTGTGGACCGCCACGACTCAACACGCGGCTGTAGTGTATAGTGTAGTGTATAGTGTAGTGTATAGTGTAGTGTATAGTGTAGTGTATAGTGTAGTAGTGTATAGAGTAGTGTATAGTGTAGTGTATAGTGTAGTGTATAATAGTGTATAGTGTAGTAGTGCTGGAGTCTGTCGCCAGGGAACGGGAGGTGTGGACCGCCACGACTCAACACGCGGCTGTAGTGTATAGTGTAGTGTATAGTGTAGTAGTGTATAGTGTAGTGTATAGTGTAGTAATGTATAGTGTATAGTAGTGTATAGTGTAGTAGTGCTGGAGTCTGTCGCCAGGGAACGGGAGGTGTGGACCTCCACGACTCAACACGCGGCTGTAGTGTATAGTGTAGTGTATAGTGTAGTAGTGTAAAGAGTAGTGTATAGTGTAGTGTATAGTGTAGTGTATAGTGTAGTAGTGTATTGTGTAGTAGTGTATAGAGTAGTGTATAGTGTAGTGTATAATGTAGTGTATAGTGTAGTGTATAGTGTAGTGTATAGTGTATAGAGTAGTGTATAGTGTAGTGTATAGTGTATAGTAGTGTATAGTGTAGTAGTGCTGGAGTCTGTCACCAGGGAACGGGAGGTGTGGACCGCCACTACTCAACACGCTGCCGCCGCGACCCTCACCAGGACAAGCGAACTGAGTAGACGAACGGACGAACGAAGTTTAAAGTTGAGTTCAGACCACCCAATTCATGGGATCGCCCCAAACAACAAACGGGCTATTGCCGCTGGCACGTGTCCGGCACATCGGTGTGGGGGGAGGGGGGGGCGTGCTGTACGTCAGCGTCGGGGATGTTTACGCTGTGCGGGCGGAGGGCGTAAACAACGGCGAATGTTTATTTCCTCCCGCTCCTGCGGCGCTGCTTGCTCTCACGTGGCGCAACGCCAGTGATATTCATTGATCATCATCAGCAGCAGCAGCAGCATCGTCGGGGTTTTTTTTTTATCAGACGTAGGCCCTATCGTGGCTGGTGATATCTGCAGCAGCCCCCCCGCTTCTCAAGTAATTCAAGCGAACTTATTTTTCCTGAACAGTCAGACGCAACAAGGGCAATTGGGAAACGAAATAGGTCATCGCACGCCGAACGCACCTGATGATTGGTAAACTTGAAAACGCGTGCTGTGGTCGTAGTATGCGGAGATGAAGTAAGAAGTGGTGTCGAAAAGTACGGCGGGTTAACCCCGGGTGGTGCCGAGTGGGCAGCCGTGCGGGACGGCAGGGGGCTGGGTAGGGGCTGGGTAGGGGCTGGGAAGGGGCTGGGTAGGGGCTGGGTAGGGGCTGGGAAGGGGCTGGGTAGGGGCTGGGTAGGGGCTGGGAAGGGGCTGGGTAGGGGCTGGGTAGGGGCTGGGAAGGGGCTGGGTAGGGGCTGGGTAGGGGCTGGGTAGGGGCTGGGAAGGGGCTGGGTAGGGGCTGGGTAGGGGCTGGGAAGGGGCTGGGAAGGGGATGGGTAGGGGCTGGGAAGGGGCTGGGTAGGGGCTGGGTAGGGGCTGGGTAGGGGCTGGGAAGGGGCTGGGTAGGGGCTGGGAGGGTACTCACAGCTGCATGACGAGATAGAGGTGCGATGGACTCTCGTAAATATCTTCCAGCGACACAATGTTCTCATGCTTCAGCCTGGTAATCGCACGCGTGCAGGCAAGGGCACACACGCACGCACACACACGCACACACAGGCACACACACGGGCATTTACACGCACGCACGGACACAGTCAAAGGCACAAAAGGCAAAGGCAGGGCAAGTGATGTTAGCGAGCACCGTGAAGGAGCGAACGACACGCGATGGGGTGGTGTGGCCAACACCACACCCGGCCGCCTTTGTCTCCCAGTGGCGATGTTCGCACACCACACCAGGTACTTATTTGAGACTGAGTCGACCTAGGGGAGGCCCAAGCCCGGTTCAGATAATCGTCACTGGCGGTGTTGGTCGTGAGTGGGAATCGAACTCTGGTCGCCGGGTTCGTATCGCAGCGTAGCGCTAACCACTACACCACCGCTCGCCAAAATATATAAACACACACACAGACACACGTTTGTATGGATATTCCCAGTTCAACTGTGCACTAACATAATACCTTGGTTGCAGCAGTGGTGAGTGTGTGGAGGGGTGTAGAGTGAGATGAAAGGGGAGAGGCAGGAGAGTGCGTGGAGAGGAGTAGAGTGAGATGAGAGAGGTAAGAGAGTGTGTGGAGGGAAGTAGAGTGAGATGAGAGGGGAGAGGTAGGAGAGTGCGTGGAGGGGAGTAGAGTGAGATGAGAGGGGAGAGGTAGGAGAGTGCGTGGAGGGGAGTAGAGTGAGAGGGGAGAGGCAGGTGGGGACAAGCCCATGGGTCATCGTCAAGACACCTTAAGGATGACTGTAACGGGCACCGTGAAGCCTGGGCTGTCGACGCTCCCCACTACGTCGGCTCTTTTGTAAATCCCAAGTCTCGTTGCCGAGCGCCGTCCGGAACTCTGGCACCCATGAGCCGGCAAACGGCGCATCGATCTGATAATGATTTGTGAGCGACCTTACACTTGCCCGGGGTTTAGTAACAGTCGATAATCCTTGCAGCTGTGCACGAGCCTCTGGCACGCGTACACCCCTCCCCACGTCCCTCCCGGGAGACGGGACGGGAACACGGGGACCTCAACCCACGGTGAGGGCGAGCGACGGTCCCTGCACTCGTTCTCTTAACGAGTAGAGCGCTCATGAATCTTTTTGGAGAAAAAAAAGGATATAATAATAATGAAAGTAAAACCAACAATGAACTTTAACCGCGCCGAAGCTAAAAATAATGGGACGAAGAAAGGGGGGAAACAAATATAATCGTCAAACGCGACGGCGTTTCCGCAACGCGTGTTGGTGCTAATTGCGCGATGTCTAAATATACACGCGGGCGGTTGGTGCAGGGAACGCGCTCGCGGTACGAGTCCCAGGTTGCGAGGCCGACGCGTCTCCGGTTAATTTTAGACATTGCAATTAAATTTACGGGCAAATTAACGCGCGCAACCACAACAACAACAAATGGGGAGAATGTGGGGTTTATTTTTTCAATTGATAAATATCGGGAGTGGAATTGTGGGATATACTTTGAATTAAAATAAGAAGGCAGAGAGAAGAAGGTGGCCGGCCGGCTGGCTCGGGGGTCGAGTCGGAGAGAGGCTGAGGCCCTGGGTTTGAATCGGGATTGTAAAGTGCAGTGAGTTGACGGTCTAAGCCCAGTCTCCAAAGACCGCACGTAAAAGACCATCACATTAAACATGGGTTTTCAATTAATTTATCCCACATAAAAATTAACCAGATTAAATTGTATTCTTGGTTCTTTCAGTAAAATCACGTAGAAGGGAAACAATAAAATAATAAAAATATAAAACAATAACATTCTCACGACGTTTCGACTGCAACACAAGCAATCATCATCAGGTGTGAAAAACACAGCAAGCGGGAATCGAACTCGGTTAGCCGGGTTCGAAGGCGCAGTGCGCTAACCATTGCGCCACCGTTCCCCACACATTATATATACACACACACAATTAAGAACACATGAGCAGGGGCGTGACGCGCTGCACGATCCGTCTCCACCACCGCTACCCGCTGTCGTAACTTCACTCCATGCACAACTCCGATTCGCGCCGTTGGCTACGTCCGGTGGTGCGAAGGAAGTTCAACAAACACACGAACAACGTGCGGACCTGTTTTCTCTACTCGCGTTTACCGCACGTACGCCTCTCGTGTGAAAGACGCCTTCAACTCGATGGATGCTCTCCCGTTAAGATGACGTTCCACTGAAATATATTGAATACGTTATATAGATAAAACTTTTAATTCCGCGGGGGAAGACGGAACTTTCTATAAACTAAACTGTGATCTATTTTTTATTTTACCAGGTAAGGCCCACTGAGCTGTATAGCTGTTTTTCAAAAGCGACCTGGCCACAAATGGTAGCTCAACGAAGTGGCTTATCATTTTGCGGAAATGTATTGCAGCTAAATACTCTAAACGCGTGATTCTCAATGTGGAGGGGGGAAACCGGAGGACCCGGAGGAAAAGAGAGAGGCACACAAACTCCAAATATACAGGCCACAGGGGTCGGTATCGAACCCACGTCTCCTGCGTAGCAGGCGAGGTAGTTAACATTGCCTCGCCACCGTGGCGCCCATTGGCGATGGATGGCAGACGCAGCCCAAGTGCTCTCCGAGCGCGAGTGCTGGGCCCATGAGCCCGAGGTTTGACACTGGCCGAGTCCCCATGCGCCCCGCTAACCCTACTCGGCTGGGGAGCCGGGCTTTGATTCAGCCAGACGTGCCCGAGAACATCACAGCGTCTCTGCACCAAGCGCGGCACTCGCGTTGCCACCTGCCTGGATTTTCCTAGGACGTCCTCACGTTGCGGTGACTGCTTTCCCGGGAAACCCCGTGGCCGTTAACAACAGTCCCGGGTTGTGTAAGAACGCACCGGCTCTAGGCAATGCATTTACATGCAGCTGAAAACCACGGCCGGCACTATGAGATATTCTTCTTCAGCTTCCCATGATATGCGTCCCGTTTTACTGTAGCTCGGAGGCGACGACCCAACTGCACCACCACATCCAGTATACCATCTCACCACGGCTACGAGTTACATGCCAGCCGATGGCATTCTCCCAGCGAAACATTCAGTGAGAAATTGAACTTTGCTCGGGGTCACGGGCGAGCCGGGGGTGGGTGTGGGGGGCGATGGGGGTTGGAGGCGAGGGGGGGGGGGCGATGGGGGGTGGGGGCGATGGGGGGGTGATGGGTGGGGGGAAGGGATTAACATAACAGCCAGGAGCCCATGGGGAGACAAAAACCATCGCAACAGACAAACAACCACAAAAACAACAACTACAAAAACACGCCGCAGATAAACGCGCAGGTGGCAACCGTCTCCTAAACACGGGCAAGTGCCCTTGGCCTGTCAGAGGCTGAATGGGAAAGTTGTAAACAACGGGGGACGAGCGGTGGCCTCGGACTCCGGAGGTAGCCTGCGGCTGCCCCGTAACGAGCACACGTATCGCGCTGCGGGCGGGAGCGCCCTTTGTGAAACTGAAAACTCCCCGCGTTCCACCCACCCCAAAACCCACACCACCCCCACCCCCGTCCCGGCGGTGAATAATGGATGGCCCCCTTTTGGAACGACAGTAGCCTCCCTGCAACGCTGGGGCCCGAATTGTCGAGTTCGTTTCCAGGGGCGCAAGGGGCCGCGCAGCTGTCAAGCGAGTGGGAGCACGCAGGAGGATGAAGAGGTGGCAGGAGGATGAAGAGGTGGGGAGGGATGGGGTGGGGGGAGGATGAAGAGGTAGGTGGGAGGTGGCGGGCGAGGGGAGGATGTGGGTGATTGGGTTTTGGAGGCAGAGAATATGGGTGTTGAGAATGAAGAGGGAAAAGGAGGAGCAGGAGTAAGATGAGGAGGTGGGTTGGAGGAGCAGGATGAGGAGAGAGAAGGAAGATGGGTAGGTGGGGAGGTAGTGGAGGAAACGGAAGAAGGGAGGCTAAGGAAGATGTTGTTTGTTATTTAACCCCCGGCACGATAGGGATGGTGGTGGGAAGGGCTTCGGATCATCGCTCGCTGCCATCACAGGGGCCGTGACGGAGGAGTGGCGCCACGGGGGGGGGGGGGGGGGGGGGGGGGGGGGGGGGGCGTTTCGGGGCTGCGTGACGAGATGAGATCGCAGCATAGGGCCCAGCCCCAAACACAGGGGACCCAATCCCTTGAGACGCGAGACATTATAAACTACATCGCGTCTTCTGGGCACTCTGAATGATACTACGCACCCGCTGTGTATGCTGTATCCCTGAGCAATGGTGGTGGTGGTTGCTGTAGTGATGGCGGTGGTGGTGGCCATGGTGGTGGCCGTGCTGGTGGTGGCGATGGTGGTGATGGTGGCGATGGTGGTAGCCGTAGTGTTGGCGGTGCTGGTGGTGTCGCTGCGTGTGTGCGGCCCGTACTTGCGCAGCACGGCGATCTCGTTCTCGATGCTGCTCTCGCGTCCGCGCAGCGCCTGCTTGGTGATGCACTTGACAGCGAAGAGGCTCCCGGACGAGCGGACCTCTGCCAGCACCACCTCGGAGAAGGCGCCACTGCCAAGGAATGGTGGGGGGGGGGGGGGGCGAGGAGGGAGGGGAGGGGGGCACACGAAGAGACGCGGTTCAATCCTGGGAGGGGGGGGGAGGACGACTCGAGATGGGAGACATCGCCTCCCACAGGAAGCTGACGCTCGTCAGAGCCGTGACCAGTGAGGCCTAGTAAATCATGCACAAGGCGCAGCCTGAGTGAGGCTTAGTTAATCATGCACGTGGCGCAGCCTGAGTCAGGCCTAGTTGTGCACATGACACTGCCTGAGTGAGGCCTAGCTCATCGTGCACCTGGCGCAGCCTGAGTGACGCCTAGTAAATCATGCACAAGGCGCAGCCTGAGTGAGGCTTAGTTAATCATGCACGTGGCGCAGCCTGAGTGAGGCCTAGTTGTGCACATGACACTGCCTGAGTGAGGCCTAGTTAACAGTGCACCTGGTGCGGCCTGAGTGAGGCCTAGTTAATCACGCCCATGGTGCAGCCTGAGTGAGACCTAGTTAATAGTGCAATTGACCACAAGTTGTGTTCCTGCCAAGGCAACATTGCCACGGACCCCAAGCTGTGTTCCTGCAAAGGCAACATTTCCACGGACTCCAAGCTGTGTTCCTGCTAAGGCAACATTGCCGTGGACCCCAACCTGTGTTCCTGCCAAGGCAACATTGCCACGGACTCCAAGCTGTGTTCCTGCCAAGGCAACATTGCCACGGACCCCAAGCTGTGTTCCTGCCAAGGCAACATTGCCACGGACCCCAAGCTGTGTTCCTGCCAAGGCAACATTGCCACGGACCCCAAGCTGTGTTACTGCCAAGGCAACATTGCCACGGACCCCAAGCTGTGTTACTGCCAAGGCAACATTACGACGGACCCCAAGCTGTGTTCCAGCTAAGGCAACATTGCCACGGACCCCAAGCTGTGTTCCTGCCAAGGCAACATTGTGACGGACCCCAAGCTGTGTTCCTGCAAAGGCAACATTGCCACGGTCCCCAAGCTGTGTTCCTGCCAAGGCAACATTGCCACGGACCCCAAGCTGTGTTCCTGCCAAGGCAACATTGTGACGGACCCCAAGCTGTGTTCCTGCAAAGGCAACATTGCCACGGTCCCCAAGCTGTGTTCCTGCCAAGGCAACATTGTGATGGACCCCAAGCTGTGTTCCTGCAAAGGCGCTCCATCCTGGAAAACTTCACGGAGATCGTCAAGACGGCCAAGGGTCGTGAATGAAGAGTCCCCTGTGTGGGCTTCAGTGGGGCCGTCTGGTCGGGCAGCAGAGACACGAGAGACCAAGAAACGACATTCCAGTCGTGGGCTGAGCTCAAGGAGGAGGGGGGCGCTGTTCAACCCTAGCACATGGGCGAGAAGCCGTGCATGTGTGAAGAGTGCGGCAAGACGTTTTCTCGCGCTCGGCCTACAAGTATATATATTTTTATTTTCCGCTTGTGTATTAATCTGTGTTTACCCCGGATATTTTAGAGATGGAAATTCTCCTGCTGTGTATCCTACTGCTGTCCCTCCCGGCCATATCTAGTGCCACACTCAACTCTACAAACGGCTACCCTCGTTACTTTGCGTCCATACTTCTTGCTCGATTTGCCATTACACCGCAAATGAAACAGCTTATAGACACTTCTACACTGCATCTTTGTATCCTTTTAAACCCTATCTTTGTCCCATTACTTCACCAGCACTCCTTCCAAACTTTATTCGGCTCTTAAAAATAACACCATCTGTGACCTACTCTTATTCGTCCAAGGTTTGCCGCTCTTCATCCTTTCACAGAAAATACTTGTGCAAACTATTAATTCTACTTTTCTTATTTCTGGGTGGTATTGAGCTTCATCCTGGCCCAAATGTAAAGAACTCGTATTATTCTGTAGATTTTTCTGGCAGGAAAGGTGTTGGTGTTCTACATGTCAACATCGGAGGGCTTGTGATGAAATTAAGTCAACTAAAACTAGAAGTGGCAAATCTTGACCCGGACATTTTTTGCCTAACAGAAGCATTTCTCACTCCTGCCGTCAATGACTTGCAGATTACGATTGACAACTACAACGTTTTTTCGGCTTGACCGAGGATCTAAAGGAGGTGGAATTGCCATCTATGTTCGTAATACTATTGCATGTTCACTAGCTCACTCCTTGTTTAAAAAATGTTGCTTTGAAGGTCTGGCTCTCAGAATAACTCTCCCAAATAATCACAGATATTGGTAGTGTGCTGCTATCGACCACCTAGTGGGAAGGATGTTGAAGCTGCATCTGCACTGAGAGAGCTTTTTGGGGGCCTCCCTAAAGGTGAAATAGTTTTAGTGGGTGATCTAAATTGGAATTGGCTAAACCCGCCGGCCGTGGCCACAAATTTTGCAGATTAATTTGACCTGTTTCAATTAATAAATGTCCCCACAAGACCCAACCTAAAAATCCGGGAAAATCATCTCTGCTTGACATCCTATTGACAAATGCCCCTCACAATTTCACACTGACTGGTGTTCTGGGTAATAATCTTAGTGATCACTCCTTCATTTTTGGGGTGAGATCATCAGCCAGACCCAAAGCCCCCCCGAAATTGGTTGAGAAGCACTCTATGAGACACTTCAGCACTCAGGCAGTTACTAATGATGTGCTTCACTCGGATATTGACAAGGTCTGTGATATCCCCAACCTGACTACGGCTTGGGAGACCTTCAGGTACACGTTTCTCCAAATTCTTAACAAACATGCTCCGTTGGTTAGATTTAAAACTAAAGGCAACCGCCCACCATGGTTTGATCCTTTGATTACAAAGCTCATGAAAACTAGGGACAAGGCTTGGGCATGTGCTCAGAAAAGTAATTTGGTCAATGACTGGCTAGAAAACAGGATTTTAAGGAATAGATGCGTCAAAAAAATACAGCATGCAAAAAATGCCTATCTTCTTTGGTTCTTTCGGTAAAGTCACGTAGAATGAGAATAAAATAATAAATTGATAAAATAAAATAACACAATAATATTCTCACGACGTTTCGGCCACAACACAAGCGGCCTTCATCAGGTGAAGGGGGCGAGACTTTACCGAAAGAACCAAAGAAGATGAATCATTGCAGTCACGAAAGCTTTAAATCGAAAAAAATGCCTACTCCACTTTCCTGGAATCACATGGAAATGCCAGGATTTTCTGGAAAAAATCAAATGTATCGAAAAGGCATCCAAAACAGACAATCTGCCCGTTGAGCTTAACCGAAATGGGGAATATTTTTCAGATCCCAAAAAAATAGTTGACAATTTTAACCTTCATTTTTCTGAAGCTGGTAATCTTTTTGATAATGTATTCGGAGTCACCCCTGCTCATGTAAATTCCTACACCCCTGTCCAAACATTAAAGATTTTAGTTTCCAGCCAATCCACGAAAGTAATGTTCTGAAACAACTGTCCTACCTCAAAGGGTCCTCCTCTACTGGAGCAGATAGTATTCCCGTCTTTGCTCTACTAACTGTTGGTCACCTAATATACAAGCCTATAGCCCATATTTTCAACCTGTCCATCAAAGAAGCATCAGTTCCTCTAGAATGGAAACATTCCTATGTCCGTCCACTTCACAACGGGGTCCCTAAAGATGATCGAAATAACTACCGACCTATCTCAATTTTGTCCCCGTTGATGAAAATTTTAGAAAAATTATTGAACTACCAAATTAGCAGTTTCCTGTCCACCAACAATCTACTACATCTCAAACAATCTAGGTTCCGAAAAAAATACAGCACCACATCTGCTGCATTAGACTCTCTTAATCACATTTACAGTAGCCTTGATAATAAGCAGTACTGTGCCTGTCTTTTTCTTGACCTGTCCAAAGCTATTGATACAGTAGACCACAACACCCTGCTTAGTAAACTAAGTTGCCTCGATTTTTCCGAAAACGCAGTAAAATGGTTACAAAATTACCTCTTTTCTCACACCCAAACTGTATTCACAGATGGTTGGAGGTCAAACAGTGTTAAGATAACAAAAGGGGTTCCATAAGGTTTCATCCTCGGCCCGCTTTCGCTCTCTTTATGTCAATGACTTGGGCACTGACCTGGATCATTCCAGGGTAAATCTTTTTGCAGATGACACGATACTGATTACTGCTGGCCGCTCTCCGGTTGACGTGATTGCTAAGCTCCAGGGTGAATTCAACAAACTACAACATCAGCGAGTTGCTCTTAAACTAGTCCTGAATACCTCCAAAACCAAGGTGCTATGCTTCTCACCAGGACTAAAGCAGGAAGTTATTTTTCCCCAATTACATTCCTTAAATAATTATCAAATAGAGCAAGTCAAGATCTATAAGTATCTTGGGGTCATCCTGGATTCAAAACTGAATTTTGAAGATCACATTGATTATATTGGTTAAAAGACAAAAATAAAAATTGGTTTTCTGTATCGACACAAGCACTGCTTCCCCCCTATGTTCCGTTTGGAATTGATAAAAGCTACCATACTGCCTCTACTTGACTACTGTGACATCGTGTATAAATCAGCCCCAAGTACTGTACTGAAGAAGCTTGATTCCATCTTTCACTCGGCCTTAAGATTTACATTGAACTGCCCATATAAGACTCACCACTGTGATCTCTACATTGGGTCAAACTTAACATCTCTTAATGTTCGACGGCTTGTGCACCAGATCTTATTTATTCACGATGTACTTACAAATAAATCCGCAGACTACCTGCTGGATCTCCTCTCTGTTTCAAAGAACAAATTTGACCTCAGGTCTTCGCTCATTTACCAGCTTCACATTCCCTATTGCCGTACAAAAACTGGAGGAAGGGCCTTTGCTATTGATGCCCCCAAGGTCTGGAATGCTATTGTCAATAAACTGCAACTTGAAACGCTACCAATGAGATATTCTCTCAAAACTGCTCTCGAGGAGTTGTACACCCCTAGCTGCCACTGCTATTCATTGGCGTAAAATAAAATAAAATGTTTCGCTCCGGATAACGCTGCAAAGTATTATCTGTATTTTGATTTAGCGTGCTGATCTTAAAGGTGCAT